CATGCGATCCGTTTTCCTACTGCCATATGGCGAAATCCTATCTCGTAAAAAGCCACACAAGGTAAGGAGCCGTGCATAAGCAATTCTCCACACATCTTCCACCGCTCACTTATTACCCCATGCGATCCGTTTTCCTAACGACACTACCCCACCCCCTCGCGCCGCCATCCCACTTTCAACATTCCCGCCCAACCTTCCCATTTGCAAAACTTCCCGATCCTCCATCCCGCTCGCCCAAACCCCCAATCCGACGCCGAAACACACCAGCAAAGGGAGAAGTGGGGCAGGTAAGGAGAAAGGGGAAGGGAGTGCCCATTCACGCTTTCCCACGATGCCGAGAGATAGCAGCAAAGGGGGAAGCGGGGCAGATGGGGAGAAAGGGGAAGGGAGTGGCCATTCACGCTTCCCCATCCACAGGTTTCGCTGTGAATTGGTTTTTCATTTGGTTATTACCGGCTGTTTTTGCAAAAGTGTTGTCGCAATCACCGCGCCCGGCAGCCATGATGTCTCCCGCCAAACGATTGTTATCATCATCCTTGTTGAGATCATCAAGATTATCACGTGAATATTCATGTTGTTTGTGTCTTCGCCAGCTGCAGCAATAATAAAGAAACCATTGTCCCAATGGCTGCGCTCCCCAGTCTTATCGTCGGCGAATAAATCATCATTTTCATCGTCATTTTCTGATTCACACCCCTCGAGAGACATTCTGCCAATAACTCCGTTGATGCTGCACGTGAGGAAAACACTACCGTTGTTGTTTTGGCTGTTGTTGTCGTTATTGTTGTTGTTGTTGTTGTTGTTGTTGTTGTTGTTGTTGTTGTTTTTGATTTAGTTCACACGCATGGTTGTAGCCCCCTGTTGTTGTTGTTGTTGTTGTTGTTTTTGATTTAGTTCACACGCATGGTTGTAGCCCCCTCATCCAAACGAACACATTCCTCGTCGCCAGCAAACGATCGCTTGTCCAATTCACCGCGAGTTCCCTGCCCCTCCTCAGGCTCCTTGCGGCAAGTCACCATCCCCTCAACAAGAAAAGCATCCGAAACAGGAGTGTCCTCTTCTCTCCAATAACCGGGTGACGAACGCAGCCCCCGGCCCTCCTCAGGCGCCACGTCCAACAACCGTTTCCTTATATCTACAAGGGAACCCTTCACTTTCCCCAGCAGTTTGGCACACCCTGCCAACTCCTCCATCACCCGCGCGTTTTCAGCGACACTCAAGCATTGCCAAGGGAGGTTTTCACGGAGCTCCTCCTCCCAACCATCGGACAGCTCCTCCACCTCCTCCAAAAGCTCTGGTGGAATATCATGTTGATGCTGAGTGAGCAGCACATATATCTCATCCATCTGCCGCCTATGCATCTGCACCCATACCAGCACAGACCCCTCTTCCTCGAACATGGCAGCCACCGCAGCATCCTGCATGAACGCCTCCTCAATCGCAATTTGTGTCGTTGATGTCGACACGGTTGAGGCCATTGTTTACCTAATTTTCGCTGTTATTTTATCTCGTTTCTCTGTCGAGACCGCTCCCCAATCAGCCGCGCCACGTCGTAATTAGACACACCTTAATTCCGTCACGCCGACGTGTCGTCTCCTCGAGCTGCCACGTGGAATCTCCCCCACCAACGCCCGGGCCAAAACGCCAGACGGGCAGCAGGACGACCAGGTGCAGTGGTGGCCCCACATTTCCACCTATGCACCAGTCCACGGAGTGCGGCCGGGCCCTGTCGGCCGGCCCGCAGCGCAGGTTAGCGCTAGTAGCGCGATGTCATTGCGAAGAACGGGAGGCGGGAAAGAAAAATGGATAGACTCATTGTGATCTCCTTAACACTGGCATGCCCGTGCAAAGACAGCTTCCCGCCAGAATCTTTTCAATCGGTTGGGGGTGTGGCCAACCCCAAACGAGGTTGGGGTCGGCCTTAGCCCACTGGATAGAAGATTTTCAGCATTTTACTTGCTGTTGCGAAATTATCCCATTGGGTGGAGCCCTCCTTCAATCACGGAGTATATGGAGGGTGTCAGGATCACTGCTGTCAGAAGTTGAGTTTATTCCATAAAATGTGGCAGTTACTTCGTTCATTGTTTTTGCAACCACCACCATCAGATCATTTGTGATCTGATGGCTGGGAAGCATGCTGCTGTGATTTCCGGTGGGAGGTCTCTGTTTCTTCTTTTTTTTTTGGCCTTTTTCCTGTTTTCTCAGCCCAGAAATTCGTAATGAACTTGTCGCCTCTGCCACTCAGTGTCACACTGGATCGGCCACACTCCTATCTGACTGCTAATGGGACCTCGCCTCTGGGCACTACATCCAAATGCTTTACCAAATTTGAATTAAATATCCAATACAGAAAATAAACATTATGATAAAAATAAGAAAAAATAAAAAGAGAATTAAAATGAGTGAGTGTGCCAGCACCTTTTCGACAACGCCATCTTTGCCGATTTTTAATTATTTTTTGGCATTGACAAATGCCCTAAAAATTTACATCTATGTAGTTTACATAATCAATAACTCATTAAAAAGTTTTCAAAAAATAATAAAATTGTTTAGGCCCTGACACAAAGTGAAAACAAAAAGTTAAAAGTGAAAAAAAACAAAATAGTNAAGCCTACCACGTGTCGGTCTTCAAAGTAGCCATCAAAAGCGACCGCAGGCAAGCACAGCAAGCGATCGACGGGCAGCATTGATTGCCCTCGCCTGAGGGGATTAACTGACCATCGTTATTTAAAACCATATTCAAGAATACATCCCTGCTCTGAGCTCCTCATCGTATACCACGAAACCGTCACCATACCATGAGGAGGAAGGGCGGTCAGCAGGAGGGAGAGTAGTAGACGAAACGACACAACTGCCCTTAAAGACTGTGGATAGGTGCCCTCCCTTAAAGCTTATAAAGCAAAAGAAGGGGTAATCAGAGAAGGTTAAATGCACGCAAAATCTTCATCTTCATCAACAGAAGGGGGTAGGCGCATCCACACGCAAACAACCATGTGGCAAACCCCAACACCAAACGCCTATTCCCGATGTCAGTTCGTCGTTGTGCCATCTATAATGCCATATGGCGAAATCCTATCTCGTAAAAAGCCACACAAGGTAAGGAGCCGTGCATAAGCAATTCTCCACACATTTTCCACCGCTCACTTATTA